TCAAAGGAAGATCTGGAAAACATGGCCTAGAACAAGAGCAAGCCAGGATGCTTTCAAAACTCTTGGGAGAGAAGATAGAAATTGAAGAGATTAATGAAGGAGTTGAGCTCATAAAACGAATGCTCAAAGATAAGAAAGTTCTTTTGATTCTTGATAACGTTGATGAACGAATGCAGTTAAGAAAGTTAGCCGGGGCATGTGAATGGTTTGGTTGGGGCAGCAGGATCATTATAACAACACGAGATTTACATTTACTTAAGAGTCATGGGGTTGAAAGAAGATATGAAATGGAGGGATTAAATCATGAAGATTCTCTTGAATTGTTAAGTTGGAATGCCTTTGGGAAGATGCAAGTTGATGATCCAAGGTACACAGAAGTTGTGAATGAGGTGATAAGTTATTCCAGTGGTCTTCCCTTGGCCCTTGAAATATTAGGCCCTGATTTGTATGGTAAGAATGTAAATGAGTGGAAATCTATGTTGGATGGATGTAAAAGAAACCCTCATGGTAAGATTCAACAAATATTAGAAGTAAGCTATAAAGGCTTACAACAACTTGAAAAAGAAGTTTTTCTTGATATTGCTTGCTTCTACAAAGGTAGTGAATTGGAATATGTCAAAGAGATGGTGGCAATTGCTCATGATGTTGACCCAGATTATCATATTCGAGTGTTGGAAGACAAATGCCTTATAAAGATTTATGGGGCCCATCGTATTGAAATGCACGATCTAGTACAAGATATGGGGAGAGACATCGTTCGTCTACAATCACCAAAAGATCCAGGAAAACGCAGTAGGCTATGGTCAAACAAAGATATCTTGCGTGTTTTGGAGAGAAATGAGGTAAGTCTGGCACTAATTGAAATTATCTACTTCTTTTCTTATTACAATTAATGCGATTTTTATTTATTTGTTTTTAATGTAGAAAGATAATACTTAGAATTCAAAACGAGACCAGGCGTATGCATGGAATTTCAATAAGATTAACCAAAGCTTGACTTGATCGATTTCTAAAGTTATTTTGTTGTGCTCATTATGTCGTGGTTTTAATTTTGAATGAGGATTTATCGATGTTTTTATGGTATTTAATATTCTCAATATTTGTGTTATAAGGATAAGAAATTATAGGGATTTGTGTTATATATTTACATGCTATCAACTATGCGATGAAACCTACCCTTACTGAACTTACCATGGAAAATTATTCCTAAAATATTCTATTAAAATATGACAATTGGTCTAAATAAGAGAAACCAAAAAATAAATAAAAATTAAAATGACATAGAGCTAATAATTATGCATGAGTTTTTGTTACAGAATTCGTTTTCTGGTTCTGTAATATTGCATCATTTTTCATTATGACTACTTTTCTATGATGATAGAAAATTTTCGTTTTTATTTATCGCTTATAAGGGTGCAAATGAGTCGAAGTGAGGATCATAATATAGGACAGTCTATTAGAATCTATAAAGTAAAACTTAAATATTTATGATATTTTTGTCCAGTCAAATTGAAAACAATTATTTTATTAATTTTGTAATCAAAACTATCAATGTATTTACAATTTTCAAAACTACTTGTTTTAATTTAATTGGATAAACTAAATAAGGTGAACTACCTAAGTTTTTTCCTAAAATAAATTGTGACCGAGAAGCTTAACTTTGGTAATTTAAATTTTTGAGAAAGCCCCCAAATATCTTTTAACAATTTTAAGGTGTGAAATGATTTGGATATCCTCTACTTCTCGGTCTTAGTATTTGTTCATAGCTGCTTGTTAGTGGCGCAATAGGGTGGTTGCCCCTTACATCAATTTTAAAGTACTGGATGCATATAATTCATCTCAATGATTGATATACATGCGAAAAGAATATTATTTTTATATATAAAAAAGAATTGAGAATTATTGCATGGCTCAATCATCAATTTGCATTGTTTCTATCTGGTTCATCGTTTTGATTTCGATTTCGATTTCGAATTTTTTTTCCCATCATATAACTATAGCATGGAAACCCTTAACATTTCTGGAGCTTCGAATATGTAATTTTTTTTCTATGTACTATTATACATATATGAACTGCTAATGTTTTGTTATTTTCTTTTATTTTTGGTTTAAAAGGGCACAGATGAAGTTATTATCATAATTCAAGTTGAAAGGTCTAAATGCATAGAAGTAGAATGGAATGGACAAGCCTTCAAGAGTATGAAAAATCTCAAAATTCTTATTCTTGAGAATACAAAATTTTCACAAGGTCCCAAATATCTCCACAATAGTTTAGCAGTATTGAGATGGAGAGGATATCCTTCATCAAGTTTGCCACGTGGTTTTCGTCCAAAGGATCTTGTTGAATTCAATGTGAGAGATAGTTGTTTCAATTCAACGGAAATCAGTAAGGCAAGTGAAGCATCCCTAATATTATGTGTATTTATTTGGTTGGCTAGCTTGTATTTCATCATTTGTTTAATTAGACTTTATATATGGTTTTGGTTATCGCAGATAACGCAGAATATGAAAATGAGTGTTTTGAACCTTGAAGGGTGCGAGTATATCATTCACATACCTGATTTATCAGGCCTCTCAAGTTTAAAGGAGTTACGGCTTGGTAATTGCAAAAATTTGATTGAAATTGATAATTCGGTTGGGCAATTAGCAAAACTTAAAACTTTGAATGTACGTAACTGTGCCCAGCTTATGACTTTTCCGAGTGAATTGAATACACCCTCTCTTTATGATCTGAATCTGAAGATGTGCTCAAGTTTGAATTACTTTCCAGAAATAGCAACTCGTGAAATGAAAATAGAAGAGTTGAAATTGGTTGGAACTGGTATAAATCAATTGCCTCCATCAGTTGAAAATCTTACTCAACTTGTAAAGATAAAACATATTGGAAATGACACTGCGGGCAAGGGAATTAGGTCAATGAAGCTACCAAGTACCACTTTTTTGTTGCCAGAACTTAGGCAAATAGATGTTGAAGGATGCGAGGAGTTGCTTATGGAAGTGGAGTCAATGATATGTCCAAACATAGAGGATCTTCAACTACAAAGATGTAATATATCCAATGAGAACCTTCATATTTACCTTACTTCATTCCCCAATCTTTGGTTTTTGGACTTGAGCGGCAGTGATTTCACAATTTTGCCCGCATGCATAGAACATTGTCAAAATTTGGGAATAATTAAGCTGCGTGGATGCAAGCATCTAATAGAAGTGGAAAAGGTTCCGCCTAGCATAGGATATTTGACGGCAAAAGATTGTGTATCAATGAGTTCAGGGTCCAAAAAGTTATTATTGAGTAAGGTCAATTTCTGTCTCCACTTTTCTGATATTCACACCCAAAAGTTCTAAATATATATATATATATATTTATATGACTTCATTTCTTTTGATTCACAGGAATTACTTGTATCTGTAGTGCCCATCAACATTCAACTTCGTTTTTTGGCTACAACTTTAGAGAAGATTTTTGTGTGCCAGGGGGAAGCATCCCAGAATGGTTCGATCACTGTAACAAAGGACGGTCCATTTCTTTTTGGTTTCGTGACCACACCCCCACCTCTCTGTGTTTGTGCTATTGCTCAACAAATGGAGAATCATGAATCTATCCGAACAGAAGTGTTCATAAATGATGAAATGGCATGTCAATGTCACCTGCCGCTAGCGACTACGGGATATGATGTGGATCATATAATTATGCATTATATATGGAATTTTCTAATGGATGGAGAAATTAAAGAAAATCAATGGAATCATGTAAAGATTTGTCCACTCTCAGAGCTTGGAGATGCCGTAAAAGAGAGCGGAATTTATGTACTTAGAGATGAATGGACCAATATGGAAAATATCCGATTCACTGATCCTTTACAAAGTTTGGATTTTTTGAGGAGTGACCGAGGTAAAGTGAGATCACCATTCTATTTTAATTGATGCAATTTAATTAGATGCATCCAAATTCTGAAAATTTCAATGGAATCATTACGCACACATGTATGAATATATATGAATGAACGAATATTCTTTGTGCGCGAGTTAATTCCTTTAACATTTCTCTTTTTTAATAATACTCCTCTGGTCCTTAATATAAGACCCATTTAACTAATTTGATTAGATTAAGGAAGTTAGATAAGTTAGTTAATTATATGAAATGTGACAATTTCCTAAAACACCATAATCATCTTTCTTAATACCTCATCTCCCTCTTTTACTTGATTATGGTTGAGGGAGTATCTATAGGGATAATTTAGAGAAAATTGATAAATATGAGAAATGGGTCTTATATTTAGGACCAAAATTAACTCAATAATTAGGTCCTATGTTAAGGACCGGAGGAGTAATAATAATAGTAATTATCTTTTCTCTTTTCACTTGTAGATGACATAGCAAGTTCATGATCTTTGGATTTGCTTAACATCATCAAGCTATGCCATATAGCATTTCACTTGTAGCTAGTGAACTATGTTTCAATTTATTACTACCGTGTTTTTATGTTCAGATTTCAGTTGCGATTTAGATGCCAAAAAAAAAAAAGGCAAAGAAACTGTCTGATAAAGGAGCATGAAAACAATGTAAACTCAAACAGATTCTCCCAATGCTAATGGTCTTCATGACAGTATCATCCTTGCATGCGTATATGTGTGAGTAGCATCAACAGTGTATAAGATTTTAGGGATTGTTATTATTATTATAACTTAGGCATGAGGTATATGAAATAAAATTAACAATATAATGCTTGCAAAGTGCTCTACTACTTACTAAGGTACTTTGCATTAACTAATGGCTACTTTAATATTATATTGCAGGATGTGCTATAGGTGACACTGCTACAAATAACCCTTTCTTCCCTTCCCAAAGTGAGCAGCAACATACACACTCACATACTGTTAGGGACATTGACTCGTTAAGAATACTATCTGTAAAGTGTAGGAGAATTATATTTCCCATCACAATTCGTATGTATAGTGGGATGGTGGGTTCTCAGTTAGGATATGATTTCTATATTACTGAGCAAGATGTCATGAAATTCCTAAGCATGCAAGAGCTGTGCATAACCATTATCCAACTCTTTGTGAGGTATGTAACTTTGTTCTCATTTCTAGACCTAACATATGCATGTATTTAGCTCTCTCACACAACTCACATATTGGCACGCAATTTGATAGGTTCTGCTACGAACTTTGCTCCTTTAGAGGAATTGTTGATAGATTTGGATTTTTGTGTCCAAATGCTATTCAAGGTGTAGGGCATACACGAGAAGATAGGATATCTTACATAGGAAGTACTATTAAGGAAGGCAATAAGCAATGTTGGCTTGCACCAATTCGTGAAGGGTAAGAAGTTTTCACGATTAACATGTAAATAATCAATTACAACAAACTTTCACGTAAACAATATTATATCCTAATCATTAAGTGATATATTATAGGAACCATTGGACATTGTGTGCTATTTGCCCAGGCTCAAATACCATTCATTGCTTTGATTCACTTGGAGGCAGACAAAGTGATGATATTGAGAAAGTAATCACTGAGTAAGTATATGTTTTTGTAAAACTTTGGTTTGCAACATTATGAATCAATGATCTAATTTATGTAATATTTAATAATAGAGCCCTTGTGACGTACCAAATCATTGGAGGAAAGAACATAAAATGGCTATACCCAAATGTAAGTAGCTAGTTTGAACCTTAATGCAGGTAGTTTAAATGGCTATGTCATTCCTATGTTTTTTAAATTCCAGCTACTCTTATTTCTTGATTTGTAGTATCGTCGTCAACTTGAAGATAAAGAAGGTGGATATTACATCATGAGATATATGTATGACATCATTGATCTTAACAAAGTTGACTCATTAGACATGGTAATTATATATTCCCCAAAACCTAGTCCTCTTATGGTAACTGATGTTTATGAGCCATTAATGTTATGATGTGTTTTCAAACTTGTAGCATTTCAATAATCAACAATGTTACTCCCAAGAAGACATCAGCTTTATTCGTAACAGGTGGTCAGCCTATTTTTTGGTGTATCAGCGGTGGCGGACGGCGTTAAATAATATAAGAGTTTTGAAGAGGCTATTATTTGGACGTACTTGATTAGAAGATATTGATTAGTAAATAATGCATACTAGAGTGGGTGACATTTGCATTTTAAAACATGACTATGTGTGAGAGTTGGTTTTAAATGATAGTTTATACTACCTCCAGTTCTAATTATAAAACCTTATTTGTAGACTATGAACAAAGTCTTGTAATTAAGATCAGAGGTAGTATATCTCTGGCCAAAATAAATAAATAAATGATAGTTTATATATCATTGATGTTGTAATAGTGTGAGATATGGCTTGAGCTCAAAGACATTTCATATGAAAAAAAAATTCTGTGGAAATGTTTGTTTTAAAGTTAATATTCTTTGTTGTAATTGCATAAGATATGGTCTTATGTTTTGGGGAAATCATTTATTTTGCACAAGGACAAACCCCCTATTATATTCCCCATTCCCTAACATCTCCATATTTGTATATGGTCAGGAAGGGACGCTGTCTATTTCGTTACTCTTCTTATTTTGAGTTCTATGTTTCTATTTTGAAGAAAATTTATGTACTTCGCTTTATATACTTAACGTGTCATTGCCAATTAAATATAAGACATGAGAATTTTGCATATATCACTTGTTCTAAAACAATCTCCTATTATTAGTATCATTAATGTTTTAATGTGGAAGTCTTTTTCTTTTATTGTTTTGGTTGTTCATATCATCAGGTTTACTGTCTTTTGTGTCCAAACATTTTGCTTTCTTTTTGTAGATATATTTGTCGTATCTGTTTCTTTTTTTTTTTTAAATTCAATCTCTGCATTATATTCATTTTTTCTTTTATTGTCATCTTATGTTGTTAACAGTATTTTCTACAAAGGAAAATACAAATTTTTTTTCATTTACTTAGAATTAAAATATTCTTACTGTTTTAATTATTTTAATGTGTTCAAACCATAATTTAAATATTTCTGTTAATTAATATTAATATTTTCTTCTCTAACAAAAGTCTAATGATATTTAATAGTACCTCATATTCTAAATAAAAATTTCACTTTATCGTGTAATCTATTTTAATTTATAGGATTAATACAAATTTTGGTCTCTCAAATTTGGACCCAATTTGGTATTAGTCCCTGAAATTTAAAACATGTGCTATTGGTCTCTCAAATTATATCCTTTTCAGATTGTTGGTCCCTAACATCTTGACATTGTTAAATTCTGCTGACATGATATTAACACCGTTAACCAATGAGTTGGACATATATAAGTGGCATATGACGTGGACATAAACCAATGAGTTGGCATGTAGGTGACATGTGACCCAAAAAAAAAAAATACAATCATAGCAAAACGCAGGGGACGACAGACATGATAACAGACACAAGGACGCTAGAGGGGGGGAAAAAAGGAAAGGGTTAGATCAAAAGGACCCACTTGTCGCCGGAAACGATCTCCGAATTACTTAAGTTTTCTGTCATTATTCGAGCTGATCGCATTATTTGAAATTTTATTTTATTTTTTAAATATGGTGCTATGATATCATTGGGGAGGTTGAGGTGCCAAAAATAAGTCTCCTTTAACAGCACACACGCTGGAAAGTGAAAAGTGTCCTTGCGGAGGAGGAAAAAAAGAGGTGGCGTGGCAGCCAGACCAGAGCTATCAAAATGCAGCATTTGGAAAAGCAGCAGCAAAATCTCTATATAGATTCGTATTTGGAAATAAGTGACTGGTTAAAGTAGATTCGTAAATGATTGAGAGCCTAATCCGGAAACGACCTTAAACCTCTGAGACCAGCTTTCTCAATGCTCTGCTTTGACAAACAAGCCAAGCGATTCTCTTGCACTTTGTTGACAACCTTGAACTGAAAATTTTAGTTAATTCAAGATAGTTCTCAGCTATCGTGATTGCAACCCATTTATTATGCTGCCTATTTGAGTTTTGTTTTTGCGCTGATTGAGAATATTTGAGCATCTTCCAGGACCTCATGCTTGAAACTGTAAACTTCAAAATAGAAACTTCTTTATGCTTATGCTATATAAAAATCCCTTCACGTGGCATTGCTTAAGCGACATGCAAATCCTCCTCGACGTCATATATTCTCGTGTTGAGTGTTGAAAAAGGTTGTACATTTTATTTTCGCAGTAGTGATGTTACAGTGAGAATAATTAAATACTACCTCTGGTCCTTAATACTACTTCCGATTTTAATTATAAGAGTTAGTTGACTAATTTGAGGAGATTAAAGAAAGAAGTTATGTTATTTATTTATTATAAATAAGTTTTGTCTTTCTTAAAATATCCTTGCTAATCAAGTGTATTGGCTAGAACTATCATTGTTAGAAGGACTATCTTGGAAAAAAATGCATAAATATTAGAAACAAAATGGATTGTGGTCTTATATTTAGGATCAAAATAAAAGTCAAATGAGGTCCTATATTAAAGATCGGAGGTAGTATAAGACTTTGTTTGATTTTTATTTTAGTCCTAATTATAAGATTTCAATCCACTTTGTCTCTTATATTTATGTATTCTTTCTTAAGATAGTCCTTCTAATAATGGTAGTTCTAGCTAATAAACTTGATTAGCAAGGATATTTTAGAAAAGACAACACTTATTTATTACAAATGACTAACTTAACTTATTTCTTTAATCTCCTCAAATTAGTCAACTAGCTCTTATAATTAGAACCGGAGGTAGTATGTTGTTTTGTGTTTTAAAATCCAATAGAGTAACTTCACTGAGTTTTGAAGGCCTGACCATTAGTGTCGTCAATAAAATTTGCGCTACGAGTTCCTTAGACGACAACCAGGCACATTACTTGGATTTCAATCTGCGCATTTATATTGCATAACAAATTAAAAGTGAATAAGGGAAGAAAATGCATGGGATAATGTATATATAAATTTTACTCCTTTTTCATATTTACATGGTAAATTAATCTTCTTTTGATGGTCGGGATAAATGAATAGATCCGTGTATGAAAATTTAATCCAGCCTACCACTGTGCTCTGTTTTGTCCTCACGAGCAGAGCAACCAACAAACTTGGAAAAGAGATGTAAATGGAAAAGCCCGGTAAATTCCCAGCTTCACGTTTTTACGGTGATATCAGGAGACGCTAGAAGGCCATAATTGCATTCGGTATTTATGAATAGAAGTTATTTTGTCAGAATCATGAGGGCTTCAACTTTGTTCATACTGGGTTATGTTTGGCAAGCATAGCTTTTTCCCCCCCGACCTATCTGTCGTCCCCTGCATTTTGCATCTGATTATACTCCTTCGGTCATTAATATAGGACCTAATTTTTGAGTTGGTTTTAATCCTAAATATAAGACCCATTTCTCATATTTATCAATTTTTTCTAAATTACCCCTATTGATACTCCCTCAACCATAATCAAGTAGAAGAGGGAGTTTTAAGAAAGATGATTATGGTGTTTTAGGAAAAATGTGTCACTTTTCTTATAATTAACAAATTTACCTAACTTCCTTAATCTAATCAAATTAGTTAAATGAGTCTTATATTAAGGACCGAAGGTGTATTATTTTTTTTTCGGTCCATGCCCAGGTCATATGCTACCTACATGCCAACTCATTAGTTCAAGTCCAAGTAATATGCCACCTATATGTCCAACTCATAAGTTAATGGTGTTAATGTTATGTCAGCAAAATTTAACGATACCAAGATGCCAGGGATCAACAATCTGAAATGGACATAATTTGAGGGACCAATACCACACGTTTTAAATTTTAGGGACCAATACCAAATTAGGCCCAAATTTGAGGGACCAAAATTTGTGTTAACCCTAATTTATATTACAAAGTAAATTTTATATTTTAGACCAGAGGTATATTAAATAATATGTTTGTCTTGTTTTTGCGTGGGAGAATTAGTTTCCAGTTTTACATAAGTGACTTAATTACTATAAAGTTCCATGAGTTGTCAATATTGATTTACTGGCTTTTTAAAAAAAATTTGAATTTTAATCCTAGTCTTTTTCAAATTATCAACACATAATAACATATATAAATAGATGTCAACACATTTTTGTTAAATTAATAGGTATATGGTTTCACTTCTTGTAATTTTTAAATTTTTTGAAAAATTATAGTACCAATCTAACATATAAGAGCTCATTGAAGCTTCAATTTAATTTTAAATATGAGACCATAATTCATTTTATCTCTTATATTTATTTATTTTTTTAAAGTAGTTCCCATAGTGATTACACATGTTAAAAGGTTTTCATTCTAATTCTAATACATATTATCAATAAATGTATTTTAATAAAGACAACA